AGTGATAAAAGCTGTGAAGGCGCGAATTCAAAGAAATCCCAAACGTAAGCAGAAACTGTTGGCCCTTCAGATGGGGTTAAGCAGAACCACGGTGAAAAGGGTGTTGAATGAAGACTTAGGGCTTCGGGCATATCGAAGAAAAACAGGACATCGTTTGAATGCTCGTCTAATGGACCTGAGACTGAAGAGATGCCGCGCTTTGTTGAAGCGGTACGCGGGAAAAAAATATCGGGAAATTCTTTTTTCGGATGAAAAAATGTTTACCGTAGAAGAGAGCTACAACAACCAAAATGATAAGGTGTACGCACACAGTAGTGAAGAAGCGAGCAACCGTATTCCGCGTGTCCAACGAGGTCATTTTCCATCCTCGCTCATGGTATGGTTGGGAGTTTCTTATTGGGGCTTAACAGAGGTACATTTTTGTGAGAAAGGTGTCAAAACGAATGCAGTTGTGTATCAAAATACAGTCCTGACGAACCTTGTGGAACCTGTTTCTTATACCATGTTCAATAACAGGCACTGGGTATTCCAACAAGATTCGGCGCCAGCTCATAGAGCGAAGAGCACACAAGACTGGCTGGCGGCGCGTGAAATCGACTTCATCCGGCACGAAGACTGGCCCTCCTCTAGTCCAGATTTGAATCCGTTAGATTACAAGATATGGCAATACTTGGAGGAAAAGGCGTGCTCAAAGCCTCATCCCAATTTGGAGTCACTCAAGACATCCTTGATTAAGGCAGCCGCCGATATTGACATGAACCTCGTTCGTGCTGCGATAGACGACTGGCCGCGCAGATTGAAGGCCTGTATTCAAAATCACGGAAGTCATTTTGAATAAACTTTAGTGTCATAAGAATCTATGTTTTGTTAAGTTCATTTTAGTATATGAATGGTTACATAATGAATAAACTTGTTTCAATTATTTTACATTAAACATGTGACAGAATTTATGACCTGACTAGGTATATATAAAATATTACCTTTAAAAATAATAAATTACTCTTCTGGTTCAGTGACACGAAGTAGATCTTGACGTATAAAGTGAGATTTTCTCGTTACTCCCGATATCTTCGTCGTCTCTTGCTTTTTTTTAGCCTTGAGAGGCTATTTGAGCGTAACTTTAACTAGTAGGTGAGCTCACGGGGCTCAAACCTGACAACGTTTTTAACACGAACCCTGGCAAGAGCCGTGCTTCGCAGAATCTACCACCGGATCGTAAACGCGACCCACTGAGAAGATCCGGCGAGAAACTCAGTGGGCTGTGTCTGTGGGTTAATTTACTCGTAGAGCCCTTCGTCGCAAGCGACGGGTTCGACGAGAACGATGATCGGTGCTTGAGGTACCTAAAAGCACCGTTAGTGGATGGGGAGGATCCGAAATGACGTGTTTTGGGCGACGTCGACTGCTTCCCATTCTGTCTGCAGGATCGGGAATGAAGAATCGTCTCTTGCCAGTTACTGACTACAAACTCGAGAATACGACTTAAATATCTGCACCAGTTCACCCACCTCAGATCACCAATTCACTCACCTTCAAAATTAACTTCAGCCTTGACTAATTACTAAATTGTTACTTTGCGACTGACGTAAACTGTTTTGTTCTAAGACGATCTATCCTGTCTCGCCCATTTATTTTACATTGAAATACTGAAGTTTTCGATAATTTCACTGGAGGGCCCTAAAGGCATCTGATACAATTTATGATTCCCGGGAGAAAACGCCCCCTCATCGCTAACATCTCTTTCTGTCGAAACTTAGTTTTGATATTCTCAGATATTTCACGCGCGTTAACTTTGTAATATAGAAACAAAAAACGTTCTCTCAAAGGGTAAAAGCTTTCTTGTCTCTCTATCTCAGATCCAACTGCTAGTTTATCCCTTAGTGGTGAAACTCAGGTAGCAGCAAACGCGCTGGCGTATTTATTATAACAAATCATTTACAATGATAAAAGTTTCTTAAGTGCTAAGCTAAATCATAAATAATTGTTGGCGAGTGTGCCGGCTCATGTCAACGTCAAGTCAGTCCGTCAGAGTCCGGCACGGCACTCGGACACATATACAATAAATCATTATTAGTGATACGACTTTCCTTTTAGATTCACCCACTCGTTACTCCGCATAGTGGTGACCCCGTGTCGATAAATTAAATAGTTACAAACAGTGCAAAAAAGTAATATAAAAAAATATGTCATACGAATCGGACATTAATAAAAGCGAAGTGGAGCAGATTACGGTTACATCGAGAATTTACGAGTTCTGGGACAACCGACCCAGGACGTGGCTCATACATGCCGAGTCGGTTCTTTGTAATAAAAAAATATCGGACGACGCCAATCTCGTCATTGCCAAACTGGGTAAAAACGTGGTCAGTCAAGTGGCAGATATAATAAAGCCACCGAAATAAATAAAAAATATGACACACTCAAGGCCACACTTTTAGCAATATACGAGGAATCGGAAAGCCGCCAGTTGCAGAACTCATAGGTAAAATGGAACTGGGCGATCAGAAACCGTCACAGCTGCTTCGTCGAATGAAAGATTTAGCCCGCGGTAAAATCAGCGACAAAACCTTCTCCTTTTGTGGCAGAACCACCTACCAACCGCAGTCGGTGCAGTATTAGTAGTTACAGATAGCAAGGATATCAATACCATGGCTTCCGTAGCCGACAAGGTAATGGAGACAACCAGGCCAATCTCCATAGGCGAGGTCAATACGGCAGATCATCATCATCATCAGCCCTTATCTGCCCACTGCTGGACATAGGCCTTCCCTAATGCCTTCCACATAATGCGGTCCTCCGCCTTCCGCATTCAACGACTTCCCGCCGTGCGCACTAAGTCGTCAGTCCACCTGGTTGGAGGACGCCCCACGCAGATACAGCTACGTCAATATCGCAAATAGCCAGAATTGATATTCGCCTCGATGAGATGCAGTCGCAGAGGAATGGCCAACACAGAGAACGGTACAGATACAGATTCCGTGGGCGCTATGCAAACAGAGCGCGATCAAGTTCCCATGGTCGCCGTAACACCACACCCCATCGCTCATCGGCTCGTGAGGATTGGATGTGCTTCTACCACTACAGATTCAAGGAGCAGGCGCATAAGTGCGTGCCGCCGTGTGCATGGGAGAAGAAACAGAACCAGTCGGGAAACTAAGTGCCATGCAGTCAGCGGCGGGGGACAGCTGGGTCGGAGCACGTAACTACCGCCTTAGTGTTATATAAGGAATAGAAATAGCAATTTAATTTTTTTATTAGATACTGGTGCCAATATTTCTGTTTTATCATGTACAGTAATAAGAAAAAAAGCTTTTTCTGATAATAGTTCTAAGTATATATTATATGCTGCAATTTTATTGCAGACGTAAGTCAGCCTATTTTAAGAGCTGATTTTTTGAAAATCCGTTTATTAGTCGACTTGAGTTCTCGTAACCTAACCGACCAAATAACTAATCTTAACGTTTCATCCTTATTTGTAAATACACGTCATAGTGTTAAAACTATAGATATAAGCCACCCATTTTATGATTTGCTATCGAAATATCCGGATATCACCGAGCCGGTTTATTTTAAAGAGCCACCGAAACAATTGGTTTACCATCATATCGAGACCTCCCGTACATGCTCGTGCGAGACCGTTGCCACCACACCGTTATGCCAAGGTTAAAGAAAAGATAAGACTTATGCAACAGTTGGGGATTTCTAGACCGTCGAAAAGTTCTTGGGCAATCCCGTTACATGTCGTTGCTAAAAAAGATGGCAATATACGTCCTTGTGGCGATTATAGGGCGCTTAACGCATCAACTAAACCGAATAGACACCCGATACCTAGATTGTATGATTTTACTTATATTTTGGCTAATAAAAAAGTTTTTTCTCAAATAGAAATCAATAGAGCGTATCATTTTGTAATGGTCGTCCCTGAGGATGTAGAAAAAACCGGTACAATTACACCTTTCGGTCTCCGAATTTCCACGCATGATTACGCAATGCTGCTTAGTTTTTCAACGGTTTATGAACCACACTGTTTTAAAAAACTTAGATATTATTTATACATTTTTATTGATGACGGAGTTATTGCAAGGGAGAATTTACGACAGCATAGACAACACTTGGAAGAGGTTTATGAAAGATTTAACAAATTTGGCATTACAATAATTAATCTATATATTAATATGTGAAGCAAAAACTTTGTATCCCTTTTTACGAAAATTGCGCGGACGGAGGAGTATGAAATTTTCCACACTTATAGAGAATATAGAGAAGAAGTGCACAATGCCAATTTTTTTTTTTTAAATAATGCATAAAAGATACATTAAATCAATAAAGAAAACATTACACACACTACATCACATGCATTTGACGCACACACGCATGCATACGATTTATTGTCAAACTTTTGTTATTGATGTCTGTTGTCAAATTGAGATTAAATATTGTTTGTCTTTGATAATATTTTTTATAGTGTAGTCTTGTCGAAATTTGTGATTATAGAAGTATAAAATACAATCATAATAGTGTACAAACTTACAATTCCAATTAATTTAAGTATAGTCGAATTTCGACTACTGCGGGATCTCCAGTTTAAATAAATGCTCGTTTTGTCAGTTCAAAATTGATTTTCTCGGGTATCAAGTTTCCACCGAGTGTATTAAGCCCTTAAAGAAAAGGTAGACGCTGTCATTGCATTTCCCAAACCAGAAACGGTTGATCAATTACGACAATTTCTGGGAATGGTCAACATTTATCGGTCACATCTACCACATGCGGTAGAATACTGTTATGTTTGTAATAAATGTTAGTGTGTCACTGGCCGTCTTGAGTATCACTTGTCTCCATACACGCTAACACAACATTGGCGACGAGGTACCCACACCAAAAAATAAAAAATAATGTCTTTCGGAAATTTAAGTAATTTCGATCATAACATGCAAACTTGGAATACTTGGAGATGCAGACTCACACAGTGGTTCATCGCGAACGATATTAACGTGGTGAAAGATCCAGCAGGAGTCAAAAGACGGGCCATATTGCTTAGCACACTCAGCGAATCTACCTACAAACTGGCAGCTGATCTCGTGCTGCCTAAAGAAGTTCAAGAAGTACCATACGAAGATATAGTTAGTACCTTGGACAACCATTTCACTCCAAAATCAGTGGGATTTGGCGAGCGTCATCATTTTTATGCCGCCACACAACTACCCCAGGAGACACCATCACAGTGGGCTGCGAGGTTACGAGGTCTCACTTCTCAGTGTAACTTCAGCAATGTAGAAGAAGCATTAAGAGATCGATTCATTATGGGTATGCTGCCGGGCGTGGAGAAAGAAAAAATGTACGTGCAGGAGCTGGCCGGGCTGACCTTCGCCAGGGCTGTGGAGCTGACCGAGAGCTTGCGCAGCGCCCGCGCGGCTGCTGCTGCAAGCGCTGCTGCCGAGACTGTCGTTACAGAGCTGTACAAAATAGGCAAACGTTCTCCGACTAGTGTACCTCAAAGTGCAAAAGTAAAGTGTTCCGTGTGTGGTTATTCGAATCACAAAGCCGCGGAGTGTCGTTTTGCGAGTTACACTTGTAGGAAGTGCAACAAAAAAGGACATTTGCGTAGAATGTGCAAAAGAATCAATTATGTTGTAACGGAGGAGAACGATGAAGGTGACGGTGACGACGGTAAAATTTGTAACATTCGATCTTTGCGAGGTGAACCATTAATCGAAGCCGTGTGTGTCAATGGTATCAGAATGAACTTTGAGATTGATAGTGGGTCAGCTGTTACCGTTATGTCCGTAGATACATATAACGAACATTTTAAAAACATTCCCTTATTTAGCACAAATAAGAAGTTATTAAGTTACTCGGGTGACGTGTTAGGTTGCGCCGGTCGCGCTCAGTTGTTAGTGGAGTGGCGGGGTCGCACGCGCCAGCTCGACGTGTACGTGGTGCGCGATGGCGGACCGCCTTTACTGGGCCGCGACTTCATCGCACAATTTGAACTGCAGCTAGCGCCCGTATATAAATGTGCCACTACCCGTGACACGTTGAAATTAATACAGGAACAATATCCCGCCGTGTTCTCGGACAAGCTAGGTAAATTCAACAAATATAAAGTTAATTTGAAATTAAAAGAAAGTGCTCATCCTATATTTTTTAAACCACGGCCGGTCGCATTTGCTCTGCGTGAAAAAGTGGAAAAAGAGATAAACCGTTTGGTGGGACTGGGAGTACTCCGACCAGTCGAGCATTCCGACTACGCGTCACCAATAGTCCCGGTACTGAAACGTGACGGTTCGGTCCGTATCTGCGCGGACTACTCTGTTACTATAAACAAGCAATTAGTTGTAGAACAGTATCCGTTGCCTACCGTAAACGAGTTGTTTTCTAAACTATACGGGGGCCAGAAATTTACTAAATTAGATTTGTCTATGGCCTACGGTCAGTTTTGTCTGGATGAAGAATCCCAAAAGTTAACTTGTATCAATACGCATAAAGGGATCTTCGCGTATACGCGTTTGGTGTTCGGGTTAGCTAGTGGGCCATCAATTTTCCAGCGAGCCATGGATACAGTGCTAGCGGGCCTGGACGGCACGCTGTGTTTATTGGACGATGTGCTCATAACGGGTCGCAATGACTCTGAACATCTTGAGAGATTGCATCAGGTCCTACAACGGTTGCAAGACGCAGGATTTGTTCTACAAAAGTCTAAATGTCAGTTCTTTCAAGATGAAATTAATTATTTAGGGTCTACCATTAATAAAGAGGGGCTAAGGAAATCACCCGATAAAATAAAAGCAATATTAAAGGCACCGGCGCCTACGAATGTTAGTCAACTACGATCTTTCTTAGGCTTAGTAAATTATTATAGGAATTTTGTACCGAATGCATCTTGTATTCTCGGACCATTATACGAACTTTTAAAAAAAGAAACAAAGTGGCGTTGGTCTAAGTTACATGATAAGGCGTTTAATGAAATAAAAAAAATGTTAGCATCCGATAATGTATTGGCCCATTTTAATCCTAATGCAAATATAATTCTCACTGTAGACGCGTCGCCCAATGGATTAGGTGCTATTCTATCACAGGTGAGTTCCGATGGCCAGGAAAAACCTATCTCTTTCGCTTCGCGCACGCTCAACGACGCCGAGAAAAGGTACTCACAAATCCAAAAGGAAGCAACCGCGATTATATTTGGTGTTCGTCGATTTCATCAATATTTGTACGGCAGGTCAAATCCATTTATACTAAGGACGGACCACAAACCGCTGCTCTCAATATTTGGCCCACAACGAGGCATCCCAGAAGTCTCGGCAAACAGACTTCAAAGATATGCAATTTTTCTTAGTGGTTATAATTATGTAATCGAGTACGTGAAGAGTGCAGATAATAGTGCGGACTATCTGTCTCGTGCGAGTCTACCGGCCGGCGCGGGCGCGTGCGGTGGTCGAGGCGGGGGGACCAGGCGCGGAGCGGGAGCGGTCGATGTCGATGCGTTCGACAGCGCCTCTTATGTTTGCTTCGTAGTGCAAGGCGCACTCCCGATATCGGTGACTGAATTACGTAACGCAACCAGCAATGATAGCATATTACGTGAAGTCATCAAATATATTCAAAACGGATGGCCTAAAAAAATTATTAACGCAGAAGTTAAGCCTTACTACTTATGTAGATTGCAACTGTCCGTTGAAAATGGTTGCGTTATGAGGGGTCATAAAGTGGTGATACCAGGAAGTTTGCGTCACCGTATTTTAACAGAGTTGCATACCTCACACATGGGCATAGTTAAAACAAAGGCTGAAGCTCGATCTCGATGTTGGTTTCCAGGCTTAGACGACGCCTTAGAAAATATGATTAGCTCATGTGAGGTGTGTATGCAGCTACGACCGACTCCGCCGCGCACTCCGGTGTGCCCGTGGGAATACCCCCCACAACCCTTTTACCGTGTACACTTAGACTTTCTAGGTCCGCTGAATGGTCGGATGTACCTGGTCCTAGTAGACGCGTACTCCAAGTGGCTTGAGGTGTACGAGATGGCTTCCACAACTACTAGTGCGGTCATTGAAAGAATGTATGAGTACATGTCCAGATACGGATTGCCTCATACGGTAGTTACGGATAACGGTACTAATTTTTGTTCTCAGGAGTTTCTTAATTTTTGTACACTAAACGGTATATCTCATATTACTTCGCCGGCATACCATCCGGCAAGCAACGGACAAGCCGAAGCTTATGTGAAAATAGTAAAAAGGGGTATCAAAACTTGTTTGTTGAGTAGTACAAATGCTAGGGAAAACAAACTGCGACTATACAAATACGTTTTCGATTATAGAAACTCGGTTCACTCGACAACAGGAATGTCTCCGGCACAGTTAGTGTTTGGTCGCAAATTACGTTCACGTTTAGATTTAATGAACCCGCGTTCGCCACCGTCGCCTTCATCTGCTTCGTTGACTGATTATGTTTTATCTAAACAGTGTACGCAAAGTAAAACAAAAGGAGGGAAAGTCAGAAATTTTGAGCTAGGCCAAGTAATTATGTACAAAAAATATCTTGTTAATAATAAATATACGTGGTGTAAAGGTGTGATATTAAAGAGAATTGGTAAAAACGTATACATTGTAAAAGACTTTAAATCTTCAATACAACTCAAGAGGCACTCTGAACAGCTGTTTTCGTGCAAAACCAAATGTGGTGCCAGTCAAACCTGGGCGGATGACTTGAGCGGTTCTATTGCTCCAACCGTTGCTAGTCCGGCAACGGGGATGATGTCGTCGCCTTGTGATGATAGTAGCGGCATCGGACCTCACACACACGACGAAGAGAGTGCAACTGAGGAGAGGGAAGAGGAGAGCGGCCGCACAGGAATCTCTAGTGCATGTGACAACCAGCCGAATCGGGAGTCACCGGAACCGAGCCACGTAACTGTCACGCGAGGAGTGCGTCGACCCGCGCAGTCTGAAGACTCTGAAGAAGGGGATCTGTTCTTCGAGGCAGAGGAGGCGAGCTTGGAGCCCCAAAATATTAGGGAGCCCAGGTTTCCTAAACGTAACCGTCCCAGGGTTAATTATAGACAGTTTTATTAAATGTGTAGCTTGTAATTTTGTTTGTCTTAATAGTTAATGTGTCTTGAACTGATAAGGGAGGAAATGTTATGTTTGTAATAAATGTTAGTGTGTCACTGGCCGTCTTGAGTATCACTTGTCCCCATACACGCTAACACAACAAATACCAAGCCGAATTAAACGATTTCTTAAAAAACTCTATAAAGAAGGATAAATCTAAGATAAATTGGACGGAAAAATCAAACGAGGCATTTATACAATGTAAATTATGTAAGTCTTCAAAGTGCACATGGGTTATTGTACCCGAAACTCGAGGACCTCTACTGGTGGTAGGACCTCTTGTGAGTCCGCACGGGTAGGTACCACCGCCCCGCCTCAGAAGCAGTAATGCGTTTCGGTTTGAATGGTGGGGCAGCCGTTGTAACTACTGAGACCTTAGAACTTATATCTCAAGGTGTGTGGCGCATTTACGTTGTAGATGTCTATGGGTTCCAGTAACCACTTAACACCAGGTGGGCTGTGAGCTCGTCCACACGTCTAGGCAATAAAAAATAAATAAATTATCAAACACAGCGGTGTATGGAAGCCATTAGGATATTTTTCTAAGAAGAGCACACCCGCACAAGGGAAATATAGTACCTATGATATGGAAATATTGGCTGTTTATCTTGCTTTTAAATACTTTCGGAATATGACAATGGGACAGACCTTAATAATTTATACTGATCACAAATCGTTAACTTTCGCTTTTACGAAAATAGGTAGTGACACCGAATTACCACGTAGAGTTAGACAATTACTTTTTATAAGCGAGTTTTGTACTGAAATCAGGCATGTCCATGGCAAATAACAATGTTGTTGCTGACGCGTTATCGCGTGTAGAGCCTATATCCATACCAAATGCGTTGAATTACGCCGACATAGCTCGAGCACAACGAAGCGACGAACAACTAACCACCTTACGTAATCAAGTAGGTAAATGGAATTCATTAGAGGTAATATTACCAGAATATGACACGCCAATTGTTTGCGAAATTAGTACTAATAGGGCTAGGCCATACTTACCTGAACAGTTTAGAAAATTAGCTTTTGAATCTGTTCATAATACAAGCCACCGAGGTATCCGTACTACAGGTCCGTATTACTGGTGGTAGGACCTCTTGTGAGTCCGCACGGACCACCACCCTGCCTATTTCTGCCGTGAAGCAGTAATGCGTTTCGGTTTGAAGGGTGGGGCAGCCGTTGTAACTATAATTGAGACCTTAGAACTTATATCTCAAGGTGGGTGGCGCATTTACGTTGTAGATGTCTATGGGCTCCAGTAACCACTTAACACCAGGTGGGCTGTGAGCACGTCCACTCATCTAAGCAATAAAAAAAAAGGTAAATTAATGAAACAAAGATTTTTCTGGAATAATATGAATAGGGATATAAGTAGATGGACCAGATCTTGTAATGAGTGTCAACGTGTAAAAGTTCATAGGCATGTTAAATCGGAATATGGTCAATTTCCTTTAGCAGATCGTTTTACACACATTCACGTTGATATTGTTGGGCTATTGCCGATTTCTACACAAGACTATAGATATCTTGTTACGATAGTAGATCGAGCTACAGGCTGGCCTGAAGCTTATCCCGTTAAGGCTATTAGTCCAGAAACCGTATCAAAGGTTATTTTTAATGAATGGATGTTTTGGCTGCCCAGTTCAACTTATTACGGACCAGGGCAGACAATTTGAAAGTAGCATTTTTCAAGAACTCATGAAGTGTTTAGAGATAGATAAAAACGCACTACTGCCTACCATCCCCAAAGTAATGGTATGGTAGAGAGATGGCACATATCTTTGAAAACCGCTCTTATGGCTAGATTGGACACGAAGACTTGGATCGAATACCCATAGTATTGTTAGGACTTCGAGTAGCAACGCGCACCGATACTAGTATAAGTGCCGCCGAATTAACGTATGGACAAACCTAAATGGCGATTTTTATGAAAATAGCAAACACATATCTAATTATTGTTAATATGTAGAACACCTTCGGACTTTGATCAGTAATTTAAAACCTAAGCCAGTAGCCCATAAGGATAGTCGCACATTATTATTTGTTTATCGCGAGTTAAGTAACTGTAGCCATGTTTATATACGCAATGATGCCGTTAAAAAGCCATTGCAACCGCCCAACGACGGCCCCTATAAAGTTTTAGTTACTCTGCACAGCGAGGAAGAGGAGGCAAGCGGTGTTGTACGAAAGAAATGATTGTTTTATTTTTCCTTTCAAATTATATTTCAAACTAGCGACCCGCCCTCGCTTCGCTTCGGAAACATTAAATTTTATTATTGATAGTTGAGTCCCGCGATGTTCCCGCGGTTATTGTCGTACCGCGGGTGAGGCCGCGGAGCGAAGTTAAAATCTAAAAAAAGTAGCCTAAGTTACTACTTATATCATCAGCTATCTGTCAGTGAAAGTCCAGTCTAAATTGGTCCAGCCGTTCAAGAGATTAGCCGGAACAAACAGGCAGACAGACAGACCGACAGACAGACAGACAAAAATTGTAAAAAATGTTATTTTGGTGTATGTATCGTATATATATTCATATGCATGTAGTAAAAAGCGGTTATTTCAATATTACAAACAAACACTCCAATTTTATTTATATGTATAGATAAAGGCCGTGACGATGCCCAGGTACACGGGTGTTATGCGTAAGGTTGTTGCGAGAGAAGTGGCAGTAGTGCTCCTTGACCGATGTTGTTTTTCTTTTTGGTAGTATTGTGCGCACAGACAATAATCTTTAAGTAAAATTTTCAAATATATAAAAATAGGGGTTAAAGTATGAAATTGGCGTTCTAATGTAATAGGTACTTCGAATTGACACAGAACCTTCATGGTTTGAGATTTTTGAGTGAAACTTTTTTCAAATGGCACCTATACCGTTCTCCTTTTAAAAAATGTGCAACATTCGATTATCGGCTTTCAGTTGTTCTTTTTATTCAGCTTAGACAAGAAAGATGGATACTTCGAAATTTCGAGGGATTTTTGAATTCGAGCTCCAACGCGGAACTAACGCTACAGAAACAGCTCGCAATTTCAATGTTGCATTTGGAGAGGGGCCTGCTAATGAACGCACCGTGCGATTTTGGTTTAAATCCTTTCGTGATGGAAATTTTGATTTGAAGATCGAACGACGTGGAAGACCGCCCACACATATGCATAACAATGAATTGAAAGATATGTTTGGAGCCCATCCGAGCCAAACTACCCAGGAATTAGCGGGATGATTTAATGTTACCTTACAAATAACATTGACTCGTTTGCATCAAATCAATAAGATAAAAAAAATATGAAAAATGGATGCCTTATGATTTGACTGATCTGCAGAAAGAAACGTGTGTTGAAACTTATGTTGCCTTGCTGAATCGATACAGAAATGAAGGATTATTGGATCGAATTGTGACATGTGATGAAAAATGGATTCTTTACGATATCCGTAAGCGAAAAGTGCAATGGCTGACCCTGGGTCAAACGCCACAACAGCGTCCTAAAGCAAATCTTACCAATAAAAAGGTAATGGTAACTGTTTGGTGGTCTCAGTATGGTGTTATTCACTATAGTTTTCTCCGATCTGGTCAAGCAATAACGGCAGATGTCTACTGTGCCGAACTCTGAGCAGTGATAGCAAAACTTGCAGTGAAACAGCCCAACCCATGAATCGATCTTCACAATTATTGCTCCATGATAACGCGAGACCTCATACAGCACGAAAAACCGTTTTAACTCTACATGAACTGCAATTTTTTTTTATTACTTAGATTGGTGGACGAGCTCACAGCCCACCTGGTGTTAAGTGGTTACTGGAGCCCATGGAGATCTACAACGTAAATGCGCCACCCACCTTGAGATATAAGTTCTAAGATCTCAGTATAGTTACATCGGCTGCCCCACCCTTCTAACCGAAACGCATTACTGCTTCACGGCAGAAATAGGCGGGGCGGTGGTACCTACCCGTGTGGACTCACAAGAGGTCCTACCACGAGTGAGGTAGAAACCAATCGTCACCCTCCGTATTCACCAGACCTTGCTCCAACCAACTACACCATAGGTTAAGTCGCTCCTGCCCTCAGTGGCTACAAAGCAGAAAAAAGTAAGGAAATCTTATAAACAGACGATAACGGTTAACTTTTAGGTAACTGTTTTGTCTTCATTGTACATATCTAACAAAAACCACGGCCACCTCATAACTAAATGGTACATTTTTTATCGCACCAGTAGGGCATCCTGATCTTTCTAAATAATAAATAACCCTGTACTGCTGTTAGATTTTAACTTATTTAACTAAATATAAAATGATAAAAACAGAGATAAAAAAACTATAAATTAACTTAAACTAAATATATATATTCTCAGGATTCAGCTTATCACTCCTCTTAACAGCTTGTCTTTCGACAGAGATCTCCTCTATGGATTTCAAATTGTTTCTGTCCTCTGATGTACGTAACCATTCTGGGAAAGCTACTTGCTTCAAGTCGTCTTCCCATCGCTTTGGCTGTCTTCCTCTAGTTCTTCTGCTTTCTCTAGGGTACCAATCCGTTATTATTCATCGATTGCTGTTTCTATTTCAATGAATTTCTCTGGAGATCTTAGTGGTCGTGTATTAAGCATCGCCATGTCATCATCATCATCATCATCAGCCTATAGCAGTCCACTGCTGGACATATGCCTCTCCAATTGTTCGTCACTGAGCACGATCCTCGGCTTCTCTCCTCCAGTTCCTGCCAGCGTCGCTATGTGTATGTCGCAATTACTATTCCTTTTTTATCTATCCTTTTTTTTTTTTTTTTTTTTTTTTTTTNCCGTCGACGCCCTAGACACGTCCTTACGGATCCATCAGATCCAATAACCTTTGCATTAGACGCCTTCAGCTCTAACACTAGGAGCAGGCTTAGGGACCCCGGTAACCGTACTCGTCGAACTCGACAAAGAGTTCGCCGTGCAACCTAACCCATGAATCAGCTCGCTGAGTTTCTCGCCGGATCTTCTCAGCGGGTCGCGATTCCGATTCGGTAGTAGATTCATTCGCGAAGCAGCTGCTCTTGAGCTGTTAGGTCTCCTTCGGAGGCGCTCGGGTAGCTGTTAGCAAATCCCACCC